CTAAAACTAGAAGTTCGATTTGATCCAGCTCTTCCCCTTCTTGGTATCTTCCTGAAAGAATTAAAAGCATCATACCACAGTGATATATGCACACCTGTGTTTATAGCATCATAGTTTGTAGTAGCTAAGTCTTAGAAAGAGCCCAAATGCCCATCAACAGACAAATGGATAAAGAAGATGTGCTTTTTAAAAAAATACAGTGGAGTACTACTCTGCCATAAAGAAGGATAAGCTTGAGATATTTCTATCTAAATGGTTGCACTTCAAGACCATACTCTTAAGTAAGATAAATCAAACACACATGTTTAAATACCACATTGTTTCTCTGCTGTGAGGAACTGAAATGGAGATAAATATCAAAATGTATAATAGATATTGAGAACTGGGAAGAAAATATTCAAATGAAAAGAGGAACAAGGAAGGAAGGAGGGGGAAAGGAAAGAAGGGATAAGGGAAAAAGAAGGAAAAAATGGAAACAGCGCTTTTGTAAATAAAGAAGGGAAGAGGGCTTGGAGGGAGGGGAAGTGAATGGGAAAATACTAAGCAAAATGTATCATGCACAGGTACAAATTCCCTATGATGAATGCTATCATTATGTATATCTAAAATATACCAATAAATGTTTTGCTTCAAAAAAAAAGGATCCTAAAAGAATACATATTTTAAATTTCAAAATATATGGCCATTTAAAGTATAACGTTTTGGTTTTTTAACTTTTTTATTACACAATGACTCTATCTCTAATAATGCCCTTTGTGATAAATTATGTTTTGTACGATAATAACCTAGCCACCCCAACTTTAATTTGATTTTTCCTAACACATCTTTTCTATACTTTTAGTTTTTAGGTATGTCACTTACAAATAGTATATAAATATATTGAAACACTCAAACTTCAAAACCTACATTTTTGGTGAAAAGTTCAATCTGTTTGTATTTATTTGTTACTATGGTAGCACAGGTCCCTGAATGGCCTTTGATGACCCAGTTCACTGTTTCTTGAAATTCTTGAGCAGAATGTACTGAGAATGCAGCATCCTGAGATCAGGAAGAGCAGTCTGGGCTTTATCCTCATTCCTCGAAGAACAGGAAGCTCTACAATGAGTAAGCTCAGTGAGTTAAGTGGCCCTTGAGGTCTAAGAACCCAGAGTGTACTTGTTTCCGGGTCCCTCAGCTGCAGTATAAAGTGGGTCACATGCAGATGTGATTCTTTTTGCCTTGGACAGCTCTCCTGCATCTTGGGGCACTGGCTGGTCATGGATCCTAGGCTTCTGTTTATCCTATCTGTGAGTAATGGTCTGCTTTCCTGACCTGTGCAAATGTTTTGTCTCACCAAACTCTGGCAACTGGATTTGTGGTAAGATTCCTGCCAGACCTGGGAACCTGCCAGATCTAGAAATCTGAGTAGAATTGGGAAGGAGTTTGGAATCCTCCCATGGTAAACAGTGCACTGTGTTCCCCTCATAGGGACTGATACTAGTGCATGGAATTCTGCTTCACAATTATTTGTATGTGTGGTTTTGTTTTGTTTTGTTTTTTTGGTACCGGGGATTGAACTCAGGACCTTGTGCTTGCAAGGCAGGCAGCGGAAACACTGAGCTAAATCCCTGGCTGTGTGTTTTTTTCTAATATTTACATTTTTTTCTATGTGCCTTGATTTTTTATGCTATTTTTTTCATTTCTTACTTTTGGAAAATTAAACATTTTCTTTGTTTTCATTATCTATTCTTAAGGATTAGATATCATAATCACATTTTTAGCTTTAGTTTTACATTTTTTACAATTTACATTTTTTTGCTTTAGCAAATGTTTACCTTGACATTTTTCCATGTGTGTTTAACACAATCTAAATTTGTTCAGAATTTGTCCCTACCTCTAAAGAAATATAAGGGCCTCAGAGCATTTGAACTCAATCCATTATTTGATTAATTACATACTATTATTGTCCAGTCTTTTCATGTATAGGAAAACACATAAGTAGATATTATAATTATTTCATATAGAATAAATTTGCTTATATTTATTTGCATGGTCACTATTTCTTTGCTTACAGATTACTTATTCTTGTCAGATCCTCCTCTGGGAGGAATACTTTTTAGAAGCTTTTTAAAGGAAGAACTGTTTATAAATTCTTAATTTTTATTTATCCAAAACATTCTTATTTTGCCTTCATTCTTAAAAATTGCTTTTGTTGGATTTGAACTTCTAAGTTGAGAAGTATTTTTTCTCTGCACTTTCAAGATATTAGGCCAGCATTTAAAAACTTTCCATTTATATGGTGAAGAAGTTTGTTGTAATTTCACAATGATAGGTAATGTCATTTTCTTTTGGTTCTTCTATGAGCGCCTTGGTGTGTTTCAGTACAACTTTTAAATTCACTTTTCTGCCTGGTGGTATACATTATCCTTTCTGCTCCTTTGGATTCCTGTCTTTCAGTGATTTTAGAAAGCCCTCAGCTATTATCTCTTTAAAATTTGCCTCTCTGCCATTCTTTCCTCCTGAAAGTCCAGTTATTGGCATGCTAGCCTTTATAAAAATTATATCCGTGATGTCTTTTAACTTTCCTTTTATATTCTCTAACAATTTTCCCTTTTTTGCATTCTGAGTAATTTATTCAGCTCCATTTAAAGTTCACTAATTTCCTTACATCTTCTGTTAAACTCACCTTTTCCAGCAATTTTTCACTTCTGAAGGATCTATATTTTTTTTAGATTAGAAATACTTAATTTTATTTTTTAATTAATTAAGTTTATTGGTATATTTAGATATACATAATGATCACATACATCATCGGGAATTTGTACCTGTACATGATATATCTTGATTCTTATTTCATTGTGCCTGGTCCTTCCTAGTGTCTTATTGCTTATTTTTTTTGACACTGTTGTTTTTTTCTTAATTCTTTAGGTATTTAATACGTTATTATCCTATGTTTGACAGTTCTATTCTTTGAAGTCCTTGGAGGTAGTTTCTGCTGATTCTCACCTGTGGTTTATTAATCATGGGTATAAAGCTCCTATTCAGTTGGTATGAACTGAGATTGTTTTCCACTAGAAGGAACTTGAATTTGCTTTTGCCAGGAGCCACAGAGAGCTATTTGTTTATTTGTGTGTTTCCGTTTATTTTCTGCCCTGTTGACTTCCCTTACCCCCTGAGAGTACACAGGGCCTGAAAAAGTATGTCTTTTGCAAGAGACCCAGTTGTTTTGTAGCAGGAAGACCCTTTAGGAAGTGGAAGCCCTAATGAATTCTCTGGTGGGGAGAAGTTTTTCCTGTTGGCTAAAATTATATCTTCCAGGGTAGGCTCCACATAGGACGGGAATTATAGAAATAAGCTAGGTTTCTGGCCCAATAAATAAAATCGACAATAAACAGGGCCTGACTATGCCCTCCACGGTGGTTGGTGGTCGTGGTAGCAGCAGCTTTCTCGTTGCTTGCCTCGTCCCAGGTTCCATTTGTGATTGTTCATTTCTCAACAGAAAAAAAAAAAAAAATGAAGCCAAAGCAGTTTTGAATAACTACTAGAGATCAAATTGAGCAAAGAAAAACTATCTGGAATTATTATAGAAATCTGTGGGTAAACAGAATTTCACTGAACAAAATCCACTTGCACTCTTTCAGGGAAAGATAATTAGACCAAAAAATAAAAGGATAAGGTTTTTTTAATCCTAGTATGTTTTTCTTATCAGGTCCTTTTTCATTTTCTCCATCAATTATTATTATTACTTTGTTTTGTTTTTGGCACCGGGGATCAAACTCAGGGCCTTGAGCTTGCGAGGCAGGCGGCGGAACCACTGAGCTAAATCCCCACCTCCATCAATTAGTTTCAACTTTCTCATTCCTTTCCAATCTCAAAGCCTTACCTTCTTTCTTCCCTGTTATCCTCAGCAGATGGCAACACTTGTGTCATCAAAGCTAAAACCCTCATTGGCACTTCTCTTTTCTCTGTCCCTCCTAAGTGTTAAGAGACAAACTCTGCCACCTGTACCCTAAGCCTCCTGCTCTGGACCTCAGCTTTTCCCATACCCAGTAGGACTTGGTTCATCCGCATTCTTTGTATGGTTTGAATATGATACATTCCTCCCAAGGCTCACTGTATTGAATGCTTAGCTGCTGATGGACTCTTGGAAAGTGATTGGATCATGAGGGCTCTGACTTCGTCCGTGGATGAATCTGTTGATGAGATCATAACTTGATGGCATTATGGGAGGTTATGGAAACAGGTGGGATCTGGTTGAAGGGAGTGGATCCTGGTGGTATGACTTTTGGGACTATATCTAGTCCCTATCCCCTTCCTTTTGTCTTTCTCACCCTCTCTCTGCTTCCTGGCTGCCATGAAGTGAGCAGCTTTCCTCCACCATGCCCTTCTGCCGTGATATTTCTGCTTCACAACAGACCTAAAAAAAAAGGGAGGGACTGAAGCCACTGCAACTGTGAGTGGAAAGAAACCTTTCCTCCTTTATGTTGACTTTCTCAGTTTTTTTTGTCACAGGGATGAAAAGCTGACTAACATAGTCTTTTTCTGTATTATGCCTTCATCCACTCCTGTTCATTCTGTTCTTTCCAGAAACATTTAAAACACGTTCAGATCAGAGGCAGGGAAAAAATAAGGTCAGTGCTTCTTTGGCTCCCCCACTCCCTTCCAGTTACCACCCTTTCTCTTCACTCTGCTTACTTAGCCTGGTCTTGAAAGAGTTGCCCAGAATTCCTGTCTCCATCTCTTCTTACTTATCTCTAATCTGGATTTTACCCCCCCATACTCAATTGACATTCTCACCATTAAGTTTCCATGATTCCAAATGTAGTCAACAATTCCTAGTTCTTGCTCTACTTAACTTCTATATAACTTTCAACATAGTTTCATGCACTTACAGTCAACACACACACACACACACACACACACACACACACAGCTTTAGCCTTTATCCTAAAATATCGGTTATAAAGCAAGAAGGTTGTATTATCAGCAATCACTGTGACAAAAATACCTGAAATTGTCAATTTATAAGGAGGAAAGGTTTATTTTGACTCAGAGTTTGAGAGGTTTTAGTTTATGGTTAGTTAGATTCATTGGTTTTGGGCCTGTGTCAAGGGAGAACATCATGTTGATCATGGTGGGAGCACGTGGCAGAGCAAACCTGCATTAGCAATGTTTACTTAAATATCATTGTATTTATCTTAAAACCAACTTCATGCAAGATTATTACTTAATATATTATTATTTATTATCACATATGTTAATATAAATTATATTTATTTTTACTTTTTCAATTAAGACAGTTCAATTAAAAATTATATATACAGGTAGGTTACATTATTTCTAAATTTTATTTAAGATGAGTAAACTGATTTTCAATATAGTACCTGTTAGAGAGTTGTGCTGGTCTGATGGGATTCAGGATTTCTGCTCTGTTGGTGCCAACTTCCTCTTGGTCCAGAGACCAGGAAATGACCCAGGCCCAAAGAGCTGCTCTTCCTGCTTTTGAAAAACATCCAACTTTCCAAATGGCTGAATGGTAACTTCCTGTCTCTAACAGATGAGTCATTTTGGTTGTTCCCGAGTTCTTACATGAGCTGAGTAGTGGGTATTTTCCATTGAGTTTTGGAAATTGATTTTGCTTATTCTTTGTAAGCTTCACGCTTCTAGTAATGTGAGAGGACAGAGAATAGGAAAGCGAATCCTCAAGCACAAGATTTTTCTCTCTCTGAACATTTATTTTTTTCAGTTATTTCCCAGCCACAGGAATTTCTATGGAAAGCTCTTATTATGGACCCACAATGGCAAAGCTCTCTTTTGGATATTGTTCTCCAGAAATAGTTTTTAGCCACCAGACTGCCATAGGTTTTATTTTCCTCCATCCAAGTAAGTTTCTGGTGCCTCTGTGGAAAGCTTGGCTGCAATGACAGAGAAGTGGTCTCCCGATGGGCTCAAGGCCAAAGGGCTGCATCCCAGGGGCATTGTGCATGTGGCACACAGTGCAGCACGATGCACCAGGGCATGGGGAAGGGTAATGGGGCCAAGACATGTGTGTGCACTGGTTTGTGTGCCACAGAGTACAGCACAGCAGAAGCAAGAGCCAGTCAAGCTGTGGTTCCTCAAAGTGTCCAAGAGTCATCACCATTGGTGTCACCCAGGAGCTTGTCAGAAATGCACAATCTAGGGCCTCCTCCCAGACCCATGCATCAGAGCATGCATTTGAACCACACTGCCATGAGAATCAGAGACACATTATAGTGTGAGGAGCACTGGTGTCCTTAATGGCCTGGAGCCTCAGCCTTCAGACCACTCCAGGAGCCTCCTGTGCTGCCTCACTGGCCTGGGGTACTCTTGTCACTCCCAATCCATACTGTGTCCCCTAATTTCGCCCATTTCCCCCACTGACCTGCCACTGTGGTCTGAGTGTCTGTCCTTCCTCAGTGGCTGGACCTAGCACAGATCATTCCCTAATAACTTATGTGCTACTCGACTGAGAGCTCTATCAGAAGGCAAGGAACTCTCAGGCACATGATCTTTGTACCACAAATAAAAGCCTGAAATTTATGGCAGGTTAGATATTTATTTTTGCTGTTTCTTGGACAAGCTCTATAAGGTAAGAATAAAATACACAGATTCTTTCAACAGCATAGATTTTACAAGTCAACTTCAGACTGTGGCATTTAGGATTCCCAGAGTATGTGGGTTGAGGCACTTTTGTACCCAGAGGCACGTAGACTTTGCCAGGCTCTGGGGAGAGTGACTCGTGGTCTTGCGGATGCTGTTGCCAGCTGCCTGGTGAGGTAGGGAAGAGCAATAGCAGACACAGGGGTTGGGCCAAGCACATAGCCCACCTGCCTTTCCTGACTGGTTGGCAGATGACAGATCCTCTGCTCCACCAGTTTCCTCCTGTAACCTACCTTTGAATCACTGCTGCCCTGATGAACACCTTCAGCAAGGGCTGGGTGGGGAAGGGAGGAAGTACTCTGGCCTTTGCTCTGTGCCGTTATCTTTAGTATAAGGAACCTTCGCTGGGCAGGTAAGACTGGAGAAGAAAGGCAGCCAACACCCACTGGGGTTAGAATCACTGGGGGAGGGGGTTGCTTCCATTAGCAGGGAATCATTGTTACGCCAAGCAAATGCTGAAGTGTGTACTTCCCTTGTTTCCTTTCAGTGAGTCATGGGCCACAGCTGCTGCTCTCATCAGGGCCAATTTATGCCTCAAGATAAGCTCCTGCCACCCAGCTGGGAGTTGCAGCTGGAAACACCTGCAGGAAGAGGATGGCCTCGCCCCATCAGTCATGGGCCTATTGAGAGGTTCTGCACTGGGCTTCCTCCTTTCTTGGAAGGACACTAATGTTCTCAGGAAACACGAGGGCACAGTGCTCCCGGGGCCTGCATGGCACCTCCTCTTCCCCACGCTCTGGTTGGCTTGTGCCAGTCCAGCTCCCTGTTCTATCAGATGATGCCTTTTGGGCCGGGAGGAGCCCCTTTGAGACCTGTGTATTTACAGATGAATTTCTGGTAGCAGATCACTCTGGGCCTATGAGAGGTCGGGGTTCTTGGACTGAGGACAGCTGCTTCTTCATGTTTCAATGTAAATCAGTGACAGGTGGCATGGGACTGAGGACAGATATCCTGCAGCCCTCACTGTGGTCTGGCCTCTTGTGCTTTAGGACAGTAATGTTTTCCATTTGTACCTTTGCCAGGAAAGTCCCTCCCAGCTTTTTTTTGAAATGTAGTACAGCAGTCCCCCTGCTTATTCCTCCTTATTCAAGATCCCATTGGTGGCCTGAAACCTTGGAAAGTCCTGAACCTTGAATGTATATGGTCTAGTCCTCCTAAACCTACAGTCCTATCATAAGGGTTAATAAATTAGGCACAGCAAGAGACTAGTAATTAGTAAAATAGAACAACTATAATAACATATGAAATAAAATACATGAACACGGTGCCTCTCTGGAAAGAGGACAAATATTAATATTTTCAAGACTGCAGTTGATATTGGGTAACTGATACCCAGGAAGGCAAAGTTGTGGTTAAGGGGGAGATTGCTATCTCAGGAGGAGGAGCTTGGAGCCTGTGTTGTTTTCTGAATATTCAGTGACAGCCGAGGACACCTGCAAGGGTCCCTGATATTTTTCCAGAGGGCAAACCTAGTGAAGACAGTCCTCAGCCCTGTCAGGTCCAAGAAAGGCTGTGGCTGTGAGGCTCAGTGAGCACAGCTGTGTGGCCTCCCCAGACTGATCACTAAGAGTGTGCTCTCAGCCTTGTGGGAGACATCCAGATTAACAGGGAAAAGGTGAGAAGGCACAGCAGCTTCAAGAATGGTCACAACTGACTTAAAGGAGGGACAGCAATTACGCTTGTTCTCAAAAGGGGATCATTTGTGGCTCCAGCAAGAGGTGACTTCACACCCTCACAGGAGGATCCATTTTCAGGCTCTGTGGTGATTCTTTACTTTTGGAGGAAAAGAAAATCTCCCCAGCTCAGTGAGGATCAGGTGAAACAGCTTTAGTCCCAATCCCCCATCTGAAAAAAAACTCTACCTGGAAAAAACCCGACTTCGGGGGCCTCTGGGGACAAACTCCAGGCTCACCACCTACACCGCCCTCCACTCATCCTCCTGTTGCTGCCCAAGGGGGACTAGAAGAACCAGACCCCCAGCCCCTGCTCACTGGCATCTCTTCGTCAGTCCCAGGAGCCTGGGTGGGCTGCAGGCAGAGCTATTATCTTCCCTGCCATTTAGAATTACAACTCTGTAGTCACCTTGGGAAAGTAGCCAAAGGGAAGTGGAGGTGAGCTAAGGACAGTACTCACCAGGATACACAAGTCTGTTCTGTGCAAAAGTGTGTATGTATCTCTGCAAAGGTCACAATAGCATCATCTGCTGCTTAACATCTGGCACTTGCTTTTAAATCTACAAGTTGAAATCTCGGGCACCCAACTTTTAGCTAAGTAAGTATAATCTCAAATTCTGTTATATATATATGAAATATATGTACATACAAATTGCACACATGTGTGTGTCATTCTGAATATTATGGCACACATTTTCATACAGGGAAGTCCCACCTTGAACCACCTGTGTGTGCACAATTACTCTGCTCTGCACTATCCAGAAAAGGAAAGTGATTATGAGCCACCTGCACCTAGTTTATGGTGCTAGGCACAGGTACCTTACACATGGCTTGTTTTTTCTGCTAAGATGGAGTCAGCTGGCAGTGTAAATTTGACCGCACCATCTTTCTCCCAGCCTCTTCGGATCTTGGTGAGTCTGCGGCTGAAGCAGGGTAGCAGGAACAGGCCTTTGGCCAGGATGATGACGCAGGGCACCAGTAGCGTGAGCGTGAAGGTAGGCGGCAGGTAGAACTTGTAGCGGCTCTCCTCGAAGGCGCGAGTCCAGCCATAGGTGAGTGTGTGCAGTGTACTCAGCACCAGGGCCACAAAGCCCAGTGTGGACTATTAAGGAAAAGAAGGCCAGAATGAGGCAGGGTGAGGTCAGACCGGGGGGGGGGGGGGGGCTTCTGCTGCCTGGCCAAGGGGGACAGCAGTGGTTTAGGTTTGAAGCCCAGCCCTATCATTCTCTGTATGCAAGATCTTATGATTGCTTCCAGAACTCCCAGAGCCTAAATCCCTAGCAGAAAAATGGAAATCATGTTTCTATACTGAAGATGCATAAGGATTAACTCTTGCACATTTAATAGCAATGCTTTTTCCCCAGCAGCTCTCCTGGCTGCCAGATGACTTTAGATGGAATTTTGTTCAAAGGAGCTAAAAAACATTTTACTAACTTTGTGTATACTTTAATGTATATTAAAGTAACAGATCTGCTGGTATACCCAAATCACAACTTCACAGGTACCAGGGGGCCTAAGTTAAGGTGGGGCAAAACAGAAAATTGATTTTAAGTTGACTTAAAGAGAAACACAAAGTGAGTAACTCACAGATGGCACATGGACTTAGCACCCAACAGGTAAGTGGCTCTGAGTCTGGGTAACCTGGCACGAAACAGAAAGCCCAACATAGCCAGTGGATGGTCTTTGCCAGGGCTGCCTCACAACGAGTTATATGCTCCCCAGGCAGAAACCCCAGCAGGCCTACCCTCTGCCTGGGAGGGGATGAGAAATTTGGAGGGGAGCTCCAGCTACTCTGATTGGATAGGTCTGGGCCTCCTTACAGTGGGGCTCCACACGCCTTGAGGCATAGATGACTTTTGTGAGTCACTGCCAGAGAAAAGCAGCTCCTCCATCACTGCTCCAAACAGGACTTTGTACTTGGGTGCTCTGTGAAATACCCTGGAAGGGCTGCTTGGGCAACTTCAGCCTCTTTTGCCCGTGAGCAGCCTCGTGGACCGCAAAGGGGAGGTGCAAATTCTATTTCTGCTACTAGTTCTGACTGACATGACCCTAGGTGAGCCACTTGATCAGTCTCTGTGGGAAGCAAGAGATTCCAAAGGCCAGTTTCAGAGAGTGCAGGGCTGGAGGAGAGAGCACTGTGCATCCAGGCTGAATGGGGAGGAAGAAGAGATGGAGGCAGCTCTAACTGCATTCTGTGGGCACTGGAGTTACTGAAGAGTCAGGGTGGGAGAGACCTGTGTTTATGACATCAGGAATGAAAATAATGGTGACCCATCAAGCAATGGACACATCCACATTTTCTCCAAGGAGATGTTGCAAAGGTTTAATTTAAATGTTGTGGTAAGCTGATTACCTCAGCTCTTTATAGATTGGTTTGGAGCTTTCCACAAAAGCTGCAAAGGGGCCTCCTAGATTTCTAGCATAGCTTGTAAGCATCAACCTAAGAGCCCAGCTAAAAGAGTCTGTCTGTACTCCCCTCAGACACTTTTCTAAATGAGGCTGGGTGGCTAGGAGTACAGCTCAGTGGTGGAGCACCTTACTAGTATATGCAAGGCTCTGGGTTCAAATCCCAGCACTGCAAAATAAGTAAGTAAAAATGAATGAATGAATGAATGAATGAATGGAGCTGATTGCGCATGGTGTCTTGTTTAGGCTACTTTCTGGAAAGGAGGGAATATTCTGTGGTACCTGCTCCTGTACAAACACCAGGATTGTGGGAACTCTGGAGAATGAAAGAATGCCAGTCAGAAGAACTGCTTGTGATGCTTTTGTTAGACATAATAATAAGCATTTTCTAATGGAGATACACTATAATTTCACAGAGAGCTTCCCAGGTACATTTTTGCCCCACATAATATACCTCAATAAAACAAATCTCCCCCTCCTTTAGTCTCTGCCCTTCTTGGCCATCTCTGGTTGTTCTTGGCCTTGTGTCCACTTCAATGATCTCATTTCATTATTAATGACTTTCAGCTTCAGTGTGGCCATTTTGGGAAGCTGTGGTTGGCTTTGTGCTATTCTCTACAATTAATTTATAAATCATTTTAATGCCATATCCACATATGCAAGCTTCCTTGAGTGTAAGTCACATGGAACCAAATCCTTGTCACTCAGAGATGTCTATCAAAAATTGCAAATATGAGCCAGGTGTGGCGGCACACATTTGTAAGCCCAGCACTCTGGGAGGGTGAGGCAGGGGCCCAGCCTGGGCTAATGATTTAGTGAGACTCTCTGTCTCAAAAAGTGAAAAAAAGGGGAGAGGTTACTGGGAATGTAGCTCAGTTTGAAGGCCTTTGGTTCAATTGTGGTACTGCAAACAATACAAAACAAAATGAACCTGTAACTTCTGGGCCACACCAATTTTTCTAAATTCTGATGTCTCAGCATAGAAGATTGGGAGGAATTTGTTTTAAAAGGCTCCCAGTGCTGACCATAATGAACAAGTCTTGAAGAGCCAATCGACATTCTCCAACCAGAACAGCCCCAGCTGGTGGTCTTTCTATGCCTTTTTGTGGAGTTCCTGAGTTGGCTGAGATGGCTGCAAAATGCCTTTAATCCCTGAGAATTGCTTGGTCTGAGACTGGTTTCATAGCTGCTTGGTAAAAATCACCTGGGGAGCTTGGGAAACATGCAATTGCCCAAGGGCCATGCCAGAAAATTCAGATTAAATTGGTTTAGGGTGGGGCTCAGGCATCTGTTGTTTTTAAGAGTTCAGCAGATGATGCTAATGAGCAGCCAGGACTAAACCACTAATTTTGAAAACTCTTACATTCACACCCTTCTAGCTTGTGGTTGAAACATCCACACAAGTCTCTATGCTCAGGCTGTGTGGTTAAGGAGAAAATGAACCTGTCTGTTCTTTAGACAAACACCTACTGAAGGCCTTTTGGTTCCCACATTCTGTGTCATGGGCTTTCCCAGACGGACAACAACGAGAACCCACCCAGATCTAGGGTGGTAGCCCCACTGAGGCCTTAGCATCTCTCTTAGGGGACATGCCCTGCAGCTGCAGTGTGACCCATGTGGGCCACCATTCCCAGTCCCTCATCTAGAGAGCAGTGGATAGGCATGTGGGGCCCTAAACTGGGAAGACGTGGAGGCACACTACTCCAGGGCCTACCAGCAGCAGGTAGATCCTCCCACTCATACATTTGCATCCCTTTGCCTTCCAAGACCCTAAGGTATGGATGCCAGAAGCCACAGCCACCAGCTAATTGTCCATAGGAAGGCCACACAGCCAAAGACCAGCCAATAACAAAAGCCCTTTGACTTCCATATCCTGGTGGGAAGCTTGGATGATTCCTGAGTTTGAAACTGTCTCTCCTTGGAAACAATTTTAAAATCCCAGTATTGCCACATGGAACTAAAAGAAGAGGAGGGATTGTCCTGGGGCAATTAATAATCCCCTCAAACTAGGACCATTTTTATTATACAGAAGCTTGTTAGCAAAAAAGAAACAGCAGGGTCAATGTGGCTCCTGCTGGTGCTCAATTATAATGGTGTGAAGGGGCTTTGACAATTGCTCACCAAGCTGGGGTTAGGCTGCTCTGTCATTATTTTAGGAAAGAGATGGGAGTGAACAAGGTCACAGAATGTTCTTCTATCTCTGGGACAGAACTTAGGTGCTAAGGGCTGAATCCCAGCTTTCTATGCAGGACAGCTACTGGCCTGGGTATTTTGCAATTTAACTGGTGAATTGGGAGCATTTAGCATAGCCGAAGCTAACACCAAACAACAAAAACAACGAAACAAATAAACAACCTCCACAAACTAAAACTTTGAAAACAGCCTTGGAAACAAAAGGATAAATGCAAGCATGAGTCATCTTTTGCAAACAAAGTAATACAGATCCAGGGTTCTTTCCAGGTTCCTTGACAACCACAGTTTCTAAGCCCTGTAGCAATGTGTCCATGTGTGGTGGGGGAGGGAAAATAGGGGCTGGGTAGCTCCTCACTGGCCATGCTAACTACATAGAAGGTTGTATCTTTCCTCAGAAATCATCCAGGGCTGGGGGTGCAGTTCCATGGTAGAGCACTTGTCTAGCATGCAGGAGGCCCTAGGTTCAATCCCCAGCACCACAAAGGAAAAAAAAAAAATAGAACCCATCTTGGGTTCATGGGTCCTGCATTTGATCTCCTTCCAATGACTGCATGAGTGAAGACAGGGACAGGCAGGGAAGCAGTAGTCCTGAGAGGCTGAGGAACAAATCAGAGGGTGCAGAGCCCACACATGAGATCTAGGGACTGGCCCAGCTCTGCCACACCCCTTCTAGTGTGCAGCCAAGAGGGCACCATGCAAGACAGTGTTTGGCCCTGGTGGTCATCCAGAGTTCTAGAGCCATCTCGGAGCATCTGAGTCCATAGGCGAGAGGCAGGCCTGGGTATCTGTATTCCTCCAGGAGTGCTCTGTGGTTTCAGACCTTCCTGATGGAGTCTCATGATAAGTATATGTTAGTGCCAGGAGACAGCTAGGTCTAGCACAATGTATATTTAACTATTACATCGGTGTACTGAACACATCTATCTGTACATCATGAAAACCACTCTGATGTTTTCTTTGCCGTTCTATCATTCTATTTCATTTTTAAAATGTTCAATGTACCTGGGCATGGTAGCACAAGACTATATTTAAGCTACCTAGGAGGCTGAGGCAGGAGGGTTGCTAGATTTGAGGAGTTCAAGGCCAGATGGGGCAAAATAGTGAGACCTTATCTCAAAAAGCAAAACAAAACAAGAAATGGGTGGATGGTAGCTTAGTCAGGGATAATGGAGTGGCCAGATACCCTAAGAATAACAGCAAAATGCTTTCTGTTTTTCTTGCACACATAGTCCTGGGCCCTAGCAGTGGCTCTTCCATACTGCTTCTCTTGAGAGACATAGCAGCTAGTTTTTGTGGATGGAGTGCAGGCATTTGATTTCCACAAATAAAATCCTGCCCTCCCACCCATCCACTCCCCTCACCAGCTCCTGCAGTGTCAAAAGGGCTTTCATGTTTTCATTGCAGCTCTTCAATATGCAAAGCAAAGCCCAGCTGCTGGGGTCCCAGGCAGTTTTGTTAACACAATCAAATCCACAGGCTTTCTGCAGCAGCCAGAGCAGGGGATGTAATCTATGCTGCTTAAGGGAGCAACTTCCTGGTGAGGGAGCTGCCTGCAGTCTGCTTTAATTGTGGACAAACCATGCACCCAGGATACTCCTGGTGGGAACAGGAAAATCCTAGATTTGGGTGTGAGACACAGAGGGATTAGTGGCAGATCAGCAAAATGCCTTTCCCCCTGCCTTATGCCAGCATGTGCCATCCTGAGCCCTCCTCCAAGGACTTTCTGAGATGAGCAGAGCCCTCGAGCTTCAGAGGCACACTTTGGAAAACAACCAAGACCGTTTTGTTCTGAGGTATGCTAAGGGTCTCTAGTCACGAATAATTAATCTGGATTACATAAAAGCAGTACACTGTCACTGTCCCTCTGAGTCCTCAAGGCACACAGAAGATACTCAACAGATTTCTGCTGACAGTGGGGGCGGGTACAATGGTGTTCTCTCCCCTGATACAATACAAGGCAGGATCCAGCGTTAGTCACCTCCCATCCTCCAGAGGGGATGAGTTAATCGCCAACACTGACTGCGGACTTGGTGCAGGGGGCAGTGGGAAGTGCCAAAGAAGTGTCAGAAATGTCCCCATCTCTGTTATTTCTGTTATACCTGAAACAAGCCTCTGTTTCTCTTGTCCCCTCTCATATTCCAGGCCTAGTGTGGCACCTGGCATGGAGCAAGTACTCATTAAGTGCTTACTGAATGAACAAGTGCACAGAGGCCTCTGGACCACTGGCAGCGCTTCCCAGAGTGTGCCACAGTAGTGTCCTTAGCTGTTATCTGAGAGCCCAGGACGAGGAGGAACTAATGCTTCATGAGTCTGACTCACAGAGGCTGGCAATTGTAGATGTAACTGGACTCTTTAAGGGGGAAGCAGATCTTTTCTCAAATGTGTTTTGATGACATATCTCCTTTTTTGTTCCTTCATGCTGCTACAGATAGAACATGGGCCTTGTCATGCGAGGCACCTGCTTGACCCCTGAGCCACACCCGAGGCCCCAGCCCTCCTATCTGTGGGTATTTCTCCAGGAATGGTGTCCTTTGGGAAATGCCACCTCATCCCTTATAAACAGTGATCCTCATGCTCACCTCTCATTCACCCTGCAAGCATCAAGGGCTGCAGGGAACAAGAGCACCAGGTTGAGAAGAGGGTGCAGGTGGTGGACTAAGCTCACTCATAGTTCACTGACTCCCATCTAGACCACTGCACTGTCGGATGACCACACATGATAGAATTTTGTTTGGAAATCTCGAGGATGGTAGAAACTGAGCATGCCTGATGAGGGTTCAGAGCTCTGCTCTAGTCTTTCCAAGTGCCTTTGTCTGGCTTCCCTGATGTCAGGAAATGAGCCTGTGTGGGTAGCTCTTCACCAGGAAGCTGAGAGGGACCTGAAGATGGGAAGCCCAGTGTCCAGGTGGTGGCCCTGCTGTGCCCATGATCAAAGCCAAGGCAATTTGCAGAGGGAAAGGCACTTCCACAAGACAGGTGGGCTGGGCCCTTTCTGCATTCACTTGCACTGGAGACATCTGCTTTACCTGCACGAAGCTGAACTCTCTCCAGTTGAGCGAGTTTGCAATGGATGGCAATGAGGTGATGGCCAGCAGGGACAGCGTACCGAGGGCCAGCACTCCCAGTGAGAGGTATATCTCCATGCGCCAGACTTCCTCCTCCACCCAGAGGTGGCTCTTGTTGGTCAACATCTGATATGGACAGAAAGAAAGGAATGAGCACTGTGGCCTCAGCTGAAACACTTGCGATGTAGTGAGCCAGTGCTGAAGGAAGCAAAGACAGTTAGGGATGCCTATCACATCCCACCTACCACCCAACAAGCACTTGGCTGTGTGTGAAGTTCTGCCCAGGTCTTATTAATCCATTTAATCTCACAATCACCCCGAAAAGGAGGGGTCACTATTAACCCATTCTACTAGGGATGAGGAAGAAAAGGCACAGAGACCAAGTTCACGGGCTCCCCTAGGCTCTCACATATCCGCCTGGGGGGCAGCCAACTGGAAGGGTCACATTGGCTCAAAGTAAGGAGTCAGAGAGATTGACAAGTACGGCCCCCCCAAGTGGGACTGGTCCTCACATTACAGGACAACAGAGAGATGCTCTCCCAGACTGGAACTCCCCAGTCAGATGGGCTACTCTGCTAGCCATCTTCCCTCTAGCTGGGAAGACCCCTGTCACCCTAGTCCCTCAGTCTGCCCCATCATTGGCTCACACTCAAGACACACAAGGCATTCCATTTGATCCAGCTAGCCCTCTTCTAGGTATCTTCCTGAAAGCCTTAAAGACATCACACCACAGTGATACACGCATACCCGTTTATAGCAGCAAAATAGCTAAGTCTTGGAAGCAGCCTATATGTCCACCACCAGATGAATGGATACAGAAAATGTGGTATTTGCATACAATGGAGTACTGCTCTCTCATAAAGAAGGATAAACTTGAGTCCTTTGCAAGAAAATGGATGCACCTTGAGACCATAATGTTAAGTGAAATAAATCAGACATACAAGTTTAAATACTGCATGGTTTCTCTTACATGAGAAACCCAAAATATAAATAAAGAGCAAAATAAAAAACAGATAATAGGAGGTAGGGAGATAGAATTTATTTAAATGATAAGGGGATCAAGAGATGGAGGGAGAGGGAGGGAAGAGAAAGGGAATGAAAAAAAGAATTAACATGTGTTATGTACATGTACCAACTCTTCACAAGGAATGTACTCATAATGTAAATACTCATAATGTAAAAATAAAAACTGAAAAAATAAAACAAAAAACCCACAAAGACACACACAGTGCTCACCCTCAACACTTCTAACTCAAAGCCTCAAGACTCCCACCTTCCCACCCACCTGTCTCTCTCTCTTTTTTTTTTTCTTATTTCTGGTACCAGGGATTGAACTCAGGACCATGCGCTTGCCAGGTAGGCATGGTGCCACTGAGCTACATCCCTGGCCCCCCACCTGTCTATTTCTGCTGGAGGCAAATGGCTTTGGCTGAACTGTTGCTAGGCAATAGAGACCAACAGAGACTGATGTCCCTTCGCCAAGCAGCTCTGTGAGTGTCCAGAAAGTACCTACCGTGTGTGCCTGCCTGGGGCTGCAAAGAACAACACCTCTCTCAGAGCTCTGGGATCCCCCATTGAGCTCTAGGATGCATAAATGGGGGGCGGTTGAGGGGCTATGCAAAACTGGAAATCCATCCCCTTCTGCCCTCCTGGAGTGTCTGTAACTGGGCCCTCTAGCCTAGCAACTCACTGGCACAACAAGCACAGGGAAGAACATGTCGGGTCCTTCTATAGGACTGTCACTTCCCAACTTGTTCAGGGAGCTGAGTTCATAGAAGTCAGGGTCTCTCTGAGAAGCCCTAGGAAATGCTAGTGCTTTAATATTACCAGGACAGCATTTCCCTGAGAAAATGACTCTGCTTTAGCAGGCCAGTCCCTGCCTCTCCAAATAGGATGACTCATTTGGGGTTTTTGAGAAAAGACTGCAGCAGGAAAAAAAAAAGTTAAGCCTGCTTACCAGATAAAATATTAAAAATTAATCTAGGCCCTCAGCAAAGGCAGTTGACAAGTTCATGAGAGGAAATGTAAAGAAAATGAGAAAACTGCCTGCAATTTGTGAACAATGACTGCCGCTGTTATTATAGGGCAGGCAGCGTTATTTTGGCATCTTTAAACCACAGAAAGACCAACAGCCTGGGACCCTGCTTCTTGTCCTGACCACCAGTTGTGTGTGACTCTGGGCATCTGTCTCTGGCCTCAGTTTCCCTACCTAGGAGATGTGGATGATGTCATGTCTGAAACGTTACCATCTTGGTTGTGTGTCTTGTGTGGTGGAAACAGCAAGGGTAGCTTTAGCTAGAAAGGCGTGGCCAAGGTGACCTGCAAAGGGCACAGGTCCCCTCCACAGCTGCACCCAAAAAAGACTTACTTGCTCTGCGCTGTGCTAACAGCCACTCCTAAAGAAGTCTCTGCCTAGCTAGTTGTTTGCTCTTCACCTCTACTCCATTAATCACTCCTAGCTGCGTTTGGGTAAGATCAAGCAGTTAAAAGTCACAAGTCAGGGTTTGCACGACTGCACACATGGGGTTGCAGAATAGCTTGGGATTTTACCAGTTGTTCTACTCTGCAGTGATGCTGGGTGGTGGGGCAGGGGAGCGCTGGATGGTGCGGGAGCTGCCGTGGGATCTGGATCCCATTGAGTCCCATGCTTCCCGGGAGCTCACAGCTCTCCATCCCCCTAGGGATCCCCCCATCCCTACAGCAAATCAAAGGCTGGGGTGGCCACGTGTGCTTTGATCTTCAGAGGTGAAGACCACAGTGGGGTATTTTTCCTGCTATAGGAGAGAGGTCATCAGCCATTGATGGAAGGATGGCATCGGGGATGGGGTTTCCTTTTCCGCAAGGCTGCAGCACTGGCCCCTCTCCTAGTCACCATGGTAGGCGCGGTTCGGTGAGGAGGAGAGCTGGCCCCTGTCTCCCAGCACAGAGGAGGAGGGGCAGGGAGTGCAAGAGGTGCTGGGAATGCAGCCAGCGTGCCATCCCACAGCCTGAGGGGCAGTCATGGGACCCAGGGACCTCACCACGGGTTGTTACCTTATTAACAGTTACCGTATTAACAGTTCCACTGTCTCTCTCTGGCTGTGTTACTACAAGGACTATAAAATGATGGTGTTTACCTGTATTCCCACATAGCCAGGAGGATTGCAAGTTCAAGACCAGCCTCAGCAAATTAATGAGACTATGTCTAAAAATTAAGAAAGAAAAGAAAAAGAAAAACCAAAACCAAAAAGATGCTGTTTGTGAAATGAGTAATATGTGACTTGCACATAATAGGTGCTTAATATAGTAAGTGGCTGGTGGAGTTGTTCTTAGTGGCAGCTGGGCAGCTCAAAGGAAATCCTGGAGGAGGTTCCTGTGCCTAGGCTAACATAAGCCCTTTACCCAAAGGGCCAGTGGGCAGCTGGGGTGAGAACAGGCAGGGAAAGCAGCACTCTAGGTGGGGCCCACTACAGGCCCTGCTTCGAGGACACAGCCAACCCTGCCCATGCAGCATCTGCTTAATGCCCCCAGATTCCCTCAGCTCACCCCTTCTGGGCTGCTGTGTGTTAAATGGGTCCCTCTCTGGCCATCGCCCCAGACATGCCCCAACAGCCTGGTTCTGCCCTTGAGAACTCTGCAGAACAAGTTAAGACCCTTTTCAAGACAAGCCTTCCTCGGTGCCTGAGTGATCCATCCTATGGGGAGGCATGGTTGCCTGGCAACCTGGACTGGGGCCTGCAGCCCTAAAGGGCTTTGGAACCTGGGAAATCACTCCTGCCTGTGCCTGGGTCTTGGCATCGAGGCGGAATTGAGTTAACAGAATATCAAGGAGAGCCTAGGTTGGCAGAGTTTAGAGAAAGGCAGTTGGGCAACTGCCCTAGGGGTGGGCAGGAAGCAGTGGTTGGTCTTGTATCCTGCAGGTAGATGCTGTCACCTTCTTCTGCCTGACACAGCCGCCAACTCAGAGGAGAGGGCTCCCCACGTCTTGGGCCACAAGTGCTGTCCCAGTACCCCAAGAGCCCCACAGAGCCCCCTGCCAAGTGGGCTGGCTTTTTAAAGAAGCAAATGCGAAAACATAACCAAAGATCATCAAACACATCAGCACTAGGAGAGACTTTGATCTACACATCAGGGGCCTGAGGACATAGAGGGCCTGGGACTTTCTTAAGGTCGAGGTCTGTGTTCTAATCAGTGATGCAGCAGGACAGGAGTTCCCAGGTCTGGCCTACCAGCCTCCAGTCCACCTGCACCAGCTCAGGTAAAGGATGAGATGATCTTTCTTATTCCTGTCTGTGGCTGCAGGCCTGGCAGGGTAGGTGCTCAATGAATGAGTAAATGAATTAATACCTTAGTTCTGAGACTTTTTACTCAATTGGTAATTTGGCTTTGTTTCCTTTAGAAAACAGGATGTGTAAAAGCATGGAATAGAACAGCTGGTTCTGAAACCCACGTCTGCTCCTTTCTGGCCGTGTGGCTTTGGTCAAGCAATTTCACTTCTCTGTGCCTTTGTTTTCTCATCTGTGAAATGAGGGTAGTACAGCACTTGCCTTATGGAATGAGATGGGCATTAAATGAATTCAGAGTGGGTATGGAAAGCTCTCAGAATGGTACAAGGAACATATCAAGCTCTTTTTTATGGGTTCGTGACTATTATTTTTTCCCTTTCTCTCATTCCCAGCAGGCATCTTGCTTCTGCACCTGACATCGGGGGTTCTTGCTTTCTCTTAGGAAAGTTGGAAACTACAGAGGCGGTGACGCCAGGTGTTCGTGGGTGGGGAGACAAGGGCCTCTGAGAAGCTGCCAGTGGGGAAACAGAGCCCAGAGTTGGCAGGGGCAGAGGTCTGAGGTCCCCCTTCTGTGTGGGGGTGGCCACGCTGTGGGTGTGTGCACAGAAGTCCCTGCACTCTCAGCAGGAGAGGTGCTGCAGGGGCTCCAAGCTGGACTGAGGGAGGATGGGAAGTGTCTCCTGGGCATCTAGGCCACCTGTGCTGTGGGAATAGTGTCCTGGAATGGGCAGGGCCCATGCACAAGGGGTCCAGGGCTGGAGCCTGGAGGGGGCTTCAGTAGGCTGGCAATAAGGACAGTCACCCTACTAGTTGCCTTCCTTAGCTTAGGTCTGAGACCTATGCACCTGGGTGCTTGGAAACCAGGAGGGAGCATCACAGAATTCTGTGCACACAGCTTGCCAGCTAATGCCATCTCTGTTCCCACCTGGCCTGGCCTGATGGCCCTGTTTCCCAGGAATCCTGCTGGCGAAGGAGTACCATATGGCTTTTCTAAATGAATAAATAATGCCACCTACCACCCTCCAAATAAAAAAAAACAACCTCATCACCAAAACACCCACTCCTGCACCCTCCCCTTCTCAGCGGACAGCAGCTTGTCTTCCATGGCTCACACCAAAGCCCAGACTCCCCTGGACCACCCCAGGCAACCCCACGCCTGTCACATCACCACATCTGCGTACTCCATAGAGAAGCCCTGCCCTACTCCACAGCTTCCTGCCCTGCTGCTGCTCCCTTCCTGCCCCACTCTCCTGGCCTTGAGTGTGGGTTCCTGCACAGCCTCCTTCCTGGTCCCTTGGTGTCTGCCTTTTACCCTGTTGTCTGTTCTGAGCCCAGCAGAGTGAGCCCATTAAAAGCATCAGGCAGATCATCAGTTCTAGACTGAAACCCTTCACTGGCTCCCTAGTTCCCTCAGGGGCTACAGCTAAAGCTCTTCCTTTGCCTTCAAGGGCCCCAGTCTGGCTTCCACCTCTCAGACCTTGCCCTCCACCAGCTCCCTCAGGTCCAGTCCCACAGGCCTCGTGGATGCCAGGCCTGCTCCTACCTGAAGGCCCTGCTCTTGCTGCCACCTCGGCCTGCACCACCCCCAGCTCACTCTTACCCATGCCACATCAATAGGGCCTCCCTGGCCACCTTTAACACCACCCCCTTCTGCCCTCCCAGCTTTGCTATACTCCCCAGTGCCCATGACCTGCCAGATGTCTGCTCTTGTTTAACTTCGTCTATGTAAGTCTGTACCCAAGAGGGTGGAGATTTTCCTGTTCCACTCCGATACTCAGAACCCTGGGCAGCAGGATGGGAGCATTGCCTGGATGGAGCAGAATCTGCTGTGTGTGGAGGGACAGGAGAGAGGAGGGCAAGGGTGGCACCTGCTTGACGGCCAGGTTGACCAAGTCGTAGCGGTGAGAGCGGCGCAGCGGCAGGCAGAAGCTGTAAAGCGCGTGCAGTGCAGCACAGAAGAAGCTGAGCAGCCCGATCTGCTTGCGGTGCTGCAGCCAGTGGTCCAGCCAGTCGGGGAAGCGGTGGTACTTGGTGCCTCGCCGAAGCTGCAGGGTGGCCGCCAACACGCCGGGCAGGTACACCAGTGACAGCAGCACATAGGCCACGCACGGCAGCGTGGTGTTGACCACAGACACGGGCAGCTTGTAGAACTTGTTCTTGCCCTCCTGTACATAGGGCTGCAGCACATCCCGGGTGAAGTTGTATGCAAAGAAACACACAAAGAGCCCCAAGGCTAGGAGTGCAGGCACTTTCCAGGCTGGCAGGAGATGCAGCGGCATGGCCTCTACCTCTCGGGCTGATACCAAGGAACCCATGTCCAAGGGCATGAAGCCCATGGCATGAACCATCTCGGAGATGGTGCGCTTGGCTTCTGGCTGGTCACTGCAGATGGGCACCTGTTGGGAGAAAGGAAAGGATAATCAGGCAGAGTCCCAGGCCCTGGGAATGGGCAGGGCCTCAACCACACAGGCTCAGTTCTACATTGAGCAGCTGAGGAAACTGAGGCCTACAGCCTTGTCCAAGTGAGCTTCCAGGGAACAGTGTAGCTGTGAGCACAGGGAGGCTCTGGCTTCCAGGCCAGGGATCTTTCAGGGCCTTAGTGGCCTCCTGGCCTCAGGTCCTGTGTGCCCAGGGAGGCCCACCACTAACAGTGAGTGTCCAGCTTGCTGACAACAACCACAGAGACATGTCCACTTAAGAAGCCCCCTGGCTCTTGGGGTGGCCGCTCCTGAGGACTGTGGCCTGTTCAGTTGCTCAGTCACAGGTTCTACACAGAGCCCAGGACATGCAACTCCAGCTGCACCTCCATCCCTCAGTACAAAGGGGTCCCCTTGTTTCCATAGGGAGCCTGCTGCCAGCGAGTCCTGCATGCCTTCTCAGCCCAGAAGCCCTGTGTTCCTCATGAGCTCCCACTGAAGGTGCCAGGAAATCCTCACACCTCCAGGCACTCTGTGGGCCTTGTGACACTGCTAGGGTCAGTCTGGTCCCCAGCACTGAGTACCTAGTCTGAGCCAGGCTTTACACGCATGATCCCTTGGCCTGCAGGTAGGTATAATTGTCCTTATTTTTCAGATGAAGCAACTGAGATCTGGGAGTACAGTCTTGTACCTCTGTGCCTTGCAGATTGTCCCCTCATCCTGGAATGCCCTCTGTGTTCCCTGAGCATGACAACACCATGTGGGACACTTCCAAGGCTTCTCCAGCTGGCCCTGTCCCAGCGCTTGCCCACTGTTCCCAGCCAGGCCCCACATGAGAGTCCAAGGAGGCAGCTGTATCCCAGGCCTTGCAGCCAGAGCTGGGCAGCACCTCTGGATCCTGCCCTGGAGCCCCGGCACCTGCCTGGACTTGCTGGATGTGTGTGTGGATCTGGCATTCTTCCACAGGAAGGGGCAGATGGCCTTTTACATTAAAAACCATCTTGTCTTGGGAAAACTCCTCCTGCCAAGAAATATGTGCAACTCTGGTTGTGCTGTGGAGCTGCTTTCCAGCCCCAGAAAACTTGTTGGCTGTTCTAAGAAATCCACTCAGTTCCCACAAGGTCTTGAAATTAACCAAATGAAGTCTGGGACCTCCCTGTCTTCCTCAGGGCCTGGCACCTAAGTGTGCTACTTTCCTCTTTCTGAGTCCAATTTTATAAGGGAAGTCTCTCTCTGCCTTCAAATAGTCAAAAAACCTTTTTCTCCTCAGGCCCTGGGAAACCTAATGCCTTAACAGAAAGAACATGGGTTTAGATCCACATGAACAGAGCTCAAATCCCAACTCAGCAACTGTAGGCTCTTGGGTGTGATCACCGATATCTCTGAGCCTCAGTTTCCTGCCCTGTAAAATGGAATTTTGCAGTGACATGACATTAGCTGAGAAAATGCACACACAAAAAAGCTGGTGTGCTGATGGTCTTCAAGGAAAATGACCCATTTGTATTTATCGTTATGATAGCAGTGATTTCTCAAGGACTTACCTGCCTGTTCCCATCCCTTGGGCCAGCCTGGAGAGTCCAGGCAGAGATGACATTGAAGGCCTTGACCACTGTGCAGGTGGGAAAAAGCGAGGCCAGGTACTCCGCATTGGACTCGAGATGCCGAAGGTGCTCCTGCTCTGTCGGGTTGCTCACGTCCACCAGGATCTTGCCGGCTAGTTGATCACTGAGGCCACAGAGGGAGGAGTAGTGCTCTCGGAACACAGCCACAAAGATGATGCCTGGGGAGGTCACCGCCTCCTCCTGGAAGGTCACTTGGGCTGATGAGGGGAACAGCCCGGCTGTGCGTTTAGGGTTGCGGCTCCCCACCACCACACTGAAGCCAGAGCCCACCAGGCGTGTGGCCAGGGAGCGGGCAAAGTCCCCACTGCCCAGGATGCCCACTTTGAGGGCCCCAACAGGGGGCTCAGCAAGGCTCCCATCGCTGTCTACCAGGTGGTGGCTGATCAGGGGCTTATCTATCTCTCCGGGCATTCTGGTGGCTGCAAGAGAAGACAGGAATCTGGTCACTGGAGGGCTCCTGGGCACCCCCTCCTGCCACCCTCTTCCTCATGTCCAACATTCACCCATCATGAAGTGCTATGGTATGCTACCGCCAGGGGGCAAACAGAGCAAGACCAGCCTTGCCCCAAGAAAGGCACAGAGGCAGGAGAGGAGAGGAAGGACTTCTGCCCCTCATCCTTTGTCCTTCCTGTGAATTTATTTCCTCAGGACACATGGGCAGCTGGGAGGGTGCTGGAAAAGGATGACGTGGAATTTCTATGCCCGACGCTATATGTCCACGCACAATGGACAGATGGTGACACTGGCTGGGAGTGACTGTCTACCTCCAACCTCATCGTTGCTGTGTGTTATCTGTGATGGGCAGCAGAGCAAACATGTTCCTGTTGTGCTCACACTGTGCACTGTGGAGCAGTCAATGCCCCTCCTGCTCTTCCTCAAGAAAACCCGGGGCGGTGGGCAGGGCCCTCTCTCTGACTCTGGGCCTGGTATAGAGGTGGTTCTCATGCTTGCTGAATGAATGAATGAGTGAATGAATGAATGAACACACACCTGAACCTATTCTCTGAGGGTCCTGGGAGACATGAGGATGAACAGGATTCAGAGACCTGGATGCCCTGGGCTCTCCTTCCATGGGCCTGAGGGACACAGAGGACAGGCTGGGTGTGGAAGAAGACCATGTGAACTCAGACAGGGAAAACCATTCTGCAATTGTCACCAACTTGTGACGGAAACTGGCTATGTCCTTCGAGGATGAAGGTAAGCAACAAACCACAGTAGTCCTGGCAGAACATGTGGGTTTGTCACCAATACTGACAGGTCCAATCCCAAATTCAGTTGTGACAGAGTACCCTGAATGCTACTTACACCCACTGTGAATTTTACATTATGGTAGATATTAAACCTGCCACTAGATCTTTTTATATAATGTGCTAACACGAAAGTACGTATATTACTAAAGTGCATCTTCTTCGGGGAATTAGTAACTGCCTCATAGTCGAGTACCCCACAGCACTGTATTTTGTGCCCATCACAACATTATTGTGAGCAGAAGCTCATAAGCTTCAGCGGCCTATGGGTTCCGTGGGGTCCTTAGCACAGAAGGATTAAGAAGCCATGTCCAGCCTGGCGCTGTGGCGAACACTTGCAATTCCAGCTACTCAGGAGTCTGGAGCAGGAGGATGACAAGTTTAAGGTCAGCCTGGGCAACTTAGGAAGACCCTGCTATGCTCGCTTGGGCAGCACATATACTAAAATAGGAAGACCCTGCTAAAGATAAAAAAATAAAAAGCGCTGAGGCTGTGTAGCTCAGGGTTAGATTGCTCATGGGTTTGTTGCCTCATACTGAAAAGAGAAAAACCCCAAAAAACAAAAAAGAAGTCAAAAGTCTTCCTGGAACCTCTGGGGCAACAGGCAGCTGTTAACACCCTGTGCACGTATTTACCTTTTTCCAGTTTTCCATGGCAAACTCCTGGGACTCTATTAACTATCAACACTGGGAGAAGTGCGGGGGCCACAGGATCTAACACAAGGGTGGATGGAGCAAGAGGACCAGAGGGTTGAGGCTGTGTCCTTGGGCAAGTCCCTGTGCCTCTCTGGGCCCCAGCTTCCACCTTTGTTACAGAGATCACACGTTCTCATCTCAGATGACAAATATTGCAGTCTTACAAGGTTTTACAAACTGAGATACGGATCTCTTACACAGCATCAGCAGCCACTCGTTTATGGGATGCCTGCAATGTGCCAAACATGGCTGTTGGGCCTTTCTCCTAGTGATGGTGATCAAGACCCTTCCCCAGTAACTCCACAAAGTAGGCACTGTTACTATTCCCAGTTTAGAGGAGGAAACGGAGGGTGAGGTCAAGGCCTGTGCTTAAGGCAACACAGGCAGCGAGCAAAGGAGGAGAACGAGACGGGACTCAAGTTGTCAGCTTCCAGAGCCCAAGCTTCATTCAGTCTTGTCACCCAGGGGACGATGAGCTGTGCACAGATGCTCCAGAGAGGCAGCAGGCCCACCTGGGCTGAGGGGAGGCAGGGGCTGTGCTAAGTGCCCCTCCGGGGAGAGGACACGGTTCCCATCCTGCCTCTGCTCCCATAACCTCTCACACATCTTTAAAGTGGTTTGGAAACATCATCCTGTCTCTCTCATGGGATAGCAGGGACTTGTTAGGTTAGGCCACTACAGAATTGTTTTGGGGGGACCCTGCTTCCCGAGTCCAAGAATACAGACAGGCAGGCACCGGCCACAACCCCACCCTGCTCTGGACAGACTCGACCTCCCTGCAAAATTGGAGAGGGTGTTTCCTGCCAGTTCTGGGAGCATTTCCCAAGGGGGTGATGAGCTGCTCCTTGGGGGTTAAAGCAGGCCTCCTGCTGCACCACCTCACTCACCCAGCACGGCCTTGAAGCCATCTGCTCAGGCAGGGAGGGCTGTGCTGGGCGTGCTAGGCCAGACTGCCTGGGTTCTGACTCTGACTCTGGCAAGTGCTGAGTGACCTTGGGCCAGTCAGTGCCTGGTTTCTTCAGCTATAAACGGAAGACCATCCTAGTACTGCACCTTCCCATGGGCAGGTTGGAGAAGTAAAAAGCAGAGCCGAGCACACAATAAGCATTTGGCCAGTATTGTTCAGGAATTACTAAGCAAATACTGGTTCCCAGCAGAAGCCAAGCTGTGCATCAGCAGTGGGTATGTGGTAGAGAAGAGGGGTAGGAGACCCTGGCTGCACCCCTCCAGGCCTGGGGAACCAGAGCTGGATGGGAGGGGGGTCTGGACAGGACAGCAGCAGGCCAGCATTAGGGACCCTCCCAGGGGCCTCCAAAGTCCCTGTAGCTGGGACGATCAAGGTTTCCCTTGTAGTCAGTGAGAACTGGGACAGACATACCCTGGTCTTTCCTGGTCACCGCCCAGCCACCTGGAGTGAGGAGGAAGTCCTGTCCTGAAGGGGAGGGAAAGGAAGCACACAAAGGCTTCCACTGCTGTTGCCACATTTGCCAGCAATATGAATGATCCCAAGATGCTCTCCTCCTGGATGAAGCCTGTCCTCTATCTTTGCTCTCTCCTTCCCATCTCCTAAGTAACTGTGCCGAACTCGGAGGAGTGTGACGATGGTAAGACTGGTTCCCACTCTTGGATGGGGGTAGCGTGTATACAGGGGGCGTGATGTGTGTACAGGGTGCGTGGATAAGCTCTGCCCACCAAAGACTGGTTGCTGGGAGCTGGGGATGGGACCCAGGAGCAGTGCAGGCCTGGCTGAACCTCTTGTCCTCAGAGGCAATGCTACCTGCCATCTGACAATTCTTGAAGAGGCCTGATGGTTTTACCACCTTGAATCAAATACAGGACCCACCCAAGGTGAGGAACAGCATCAGTCTCAGACTTTGCATCTTACCCATGGTGAACCCCAGATTTAGCATCAGAGGTGAAGCTGGCCCTCAGGGTCACTGCTCAGAATCTGAATGATGTCTCCTTTCTTTACGGGAGCTGGGAAAGAAGTGGTCACAACAGAGGAAAGTCACAGGCAGGGGCTGGGGGTCTAGGCTGGCCCCATCTCTGCCCCTAACTAATGTTGAGACCCAGGGGTGTCATTGAGCCTTTCTAGGTGGCTTCTTTGAAACAAGTCACTGCACCAGATTATCTCCAAGCCCCTCCCATCTCCAGCAGTCTAGCAATCTATTAGAAGTCCCAGTCTTAAATCCTAGGGGCCCTACTTTCAGCTGTAGGATGAACAGGAACCTGACATAATATACCTCTAATGTGTTTCTTGCTATCAAATTTGATCCTTGGGACAAGAGAACAACAGGTTGTCATGCCTCCTTGAGTTCTCCCTCCTACCCCAGGGGTAGCTCCTTCCTTGGTATTTCTGAGGCAGGGACAGAGCCATGTGGGTGGAGGAACCAGTTGCGCAGATGGTTGAAGACACCAGGTCCAGGCCAGGCTATTGGGCCGTACCTACCACTAACTAACTGGGCACTTTGGAGCAAGTTACTTACCCTTTCTGTGCCTTAGTTTTCCCACCTTTAAAGTGGGGACATTGATTGTTCCTCCCTAAGGGTTGTTGTGAGGATGAAATGAGCTAATACATGCAAGAGCTCAGAGCTAACCTCTATGACTGGTGTGTGTGCACATGTACACTATCCTCTAAGTTCCTCATGGGCAATGACCATGTCACATCCGTCTCCCCTCCCAGTCCCAGCACAAGGCCTGCTGCAGATCTGAAGGCCAGTGGGGGTAGGACAGGACAGGCCTGCGGCCTGAAGTTGAGGGTGTGATTAATCCTGTCTGAGCCTCTGTCTGGGCCAGGTTCCACCCTGGAGTTTCTATTTAGAGGTCCATGAGAGAGCACTGAGGGGATCAAATTGAAGCAGGTGACCCGGGCCTATAACTAGCAAACCACCTTTCCCAGTTGTGGTTAAAGGGCGCTGAGCCTTGGGACCTGTACCCTTTGGTCCCTGCCCAGGCTTGCCTGTTTCTCCCACTTCCTCAGCTATGATTGTGGTAGAAGCCATGCCTGGCCCCCAGGCCTGCCTGCCAGGACCTCCCCAGGCCACTCATGGTGACAGCGATGCGGCACACAGCCCGAGATTTTTTTTGCATGGGCAGCAACAGCCCTGCAGACATGGAGCTGCACAGGCAGGTCACTGTTTATCCTCTGGGGGCAGAAATACTGCCAAAGTGCAGCATACACTTGGAGAAGGCATCATATCCTCTTCACTCAGAATCCAGGGATCACCCCAAGTTCTTGTACTTTCCACTATGTTCTTTTATTTTTTTCCATAGCTGGGGAAACCAGGGACTTGAGCATGCTAAGTTATGATTTTATGCAACATTTTCGGAAGTTCTCTGCCTCCTCCCTCAGTGTCAGGACTTAGTCAAAGCAGTCTGTCTGCCTGTGCAAGCCCCTTCCCCACACCCCAGGTCCTGCTAATTCTCTGCAGACAAGAAATTCCCAGAGCACACTATCAAGAAAGTGAAAATGACAAC